CTCCTTGGGAGAGGAGGAGTTACGGGGTCTGGGAGGGGGTTTGGGAGTGCGGAGGGGAAGGCTGCTCTTCCGAAACCGAAAAAAGTGTCACCATGCGATTAACGCAGGACACTGGAAGCAGCTGCTGTGGGTTTAGTCCTGGTTGTGGAACGCAGGCATTTTCTAGATCTTAAAGTTGTTTACCGTGAGCCTCAGTTCTCCTGTGTGTACACAGATATATATGTAAAAATGTTACTTAAATATGGAATTATACTGCAGAGTTTGTGCACAGTTGAGCTCAGCGATGAAAGAAAACATTGTACTTACCTCATTACATGAGATTAAATACTGCAACAACCTCTTTAATGAAAACAAAACAGATTTCTTTCTTTTCTATTAGGTGCAGACATTGCTTCAGCAAATGCAGGACAAATTTCAAACCATGTCTGACCAAATAATTGGAAGAAATATCCTTTTTTAAAGTCAGATAGGTGCTATATACTACAGATGCACAAGTATTTTGCAGTATATTTACCAGTGGGATTTAGAAGATAAATTTAAAGTGACCATAAGTGCTTGAGCAAAGCCGTAATAAAAAACCCCAAACAACAATAATGAAAAAAAATCCTAAAATCCCAACCCAACCATGACTAGATTGCGGTCGTAGTCCTTAACCCCAGTGAACTTGATGACATGAGCTGTCGCATAGATGACCTGGAGAAGAACATAGCAGACCTCATGACGCAAGCGGGAGTGGAAGAATTGGAAGGCGAGAACAAGACCCCTGCTACTAACAAGAGTTAAAGTGAGACAATTGCTTGCTAGCCTTGAAACAAATCCTCAGGTCACCTGAAATTACTGACTTTAAAGTAGATGGACTTTCTCCTTTGATTTGTGAGGTAGTCTGAAATTAATTCAGAGCAGCTCTGTACAGTATAATACAAGAAGCTTTAAAAAGCTGTCCTCAGCAGGCTCCTACTAGCCTCTTCAGCAAGGATGTTTTCTTCGCCAATATTGGGAGGAGAGTTATTCACGTCCATTTAGTTTTGAGGAAGTGCAATAGCTATATTCATCCTCTGTTACTCACTCTGGTGCTCTTAGTAAGATCTGAAATAATGACTGTCTTCGCAGCATGGGAAGAAGAGACGGGGAAAAAATATCAGTAGCAAAGCGAGCTGTTCTATTCCCTCTCTCATCATATTTGCGCCTTCTGAAAAGGACAGTAATCTCATACACGCTACCAACATCCACTCCGATTTCCATAGCTAGAAAGCTCGTGTGAGCATGGTGCTACTCTTCAATCTTCCACTGCATCCTGTAGACTTCAGCTCCCACTAAGCTCCTAAAGACTGTGGACTTGCTGCTGTGCACCAGGGCTAATGAGCGAGTTACTGTCAATCAGCTGTAAATCCCTCCTGTGTAAGTTCGGAGCTTGCTGGGAGTACATGACTCGCACATACCGCTGCAAAGCAGCAGGTCCTGACTTGGACAGTGTAAGACAACACTCAGACGTGAGGCAAGGTGTATTCTAGGGCAACGCTCCCTGGAAAATGAAATTTCTTATTGAAAGATAAATGCGATATTATTGTATATTCTTCTTATGTAATTTCTTAATTGATAACCTGCCCCTATATTACACAAAAACATCGGAGAAGTAGATGTTTTATCTACTTGGCAAGCAGCAGTTCAAAATCTAGTACAAAAACATGTAAATAAATTCAGGTGATCACGTAGCACCACACGCAGCATTTACAACAATTGCTAAAGGCACTGCAGAAGATGGGGGCAATGCAAGAGTGCCAAAACTGTTACAGCATAAACCAGGTAGGTGGGTGTGGTGCGTAATTATAATTATATGAGCACTAAGATTTCACTTCAGTTTGTATAGAATTTGATTTTTGTAATCCATGGAAGGCAACTGGTAAATAAACTACTAGATATATCATGTTAGATTAACTTTTTTTTTTTAGGGTGGCTAAGAAAGACATGCCTTAGCCTCTCTTAGGCTTGAAATTCTGAGGTCACGTCTAGAATACTATGCAGCCTGTATAATAGGCATGGGTGTTTGAAACAGGTGTACGACTTGCTTGTTAAGGTACCTATTTTTTGTGATACTTTGACAAAAATACAAATTATTGTGGGCTTCATTGCCCCCAGTGCCAGTTCCCTTAGCCTGAACCCCACAAATGAAAATTTCTGATGAGCATGATTCTCTTAATTCTTCTCAGTAATATATTTTTTTAAATTATTTTTCCCCAACAGGTTGCCAGTAACTTAAGATGAATCCTGGAAGACTTCTTTCTTTTTCTACAAATCCTTGGAATTACAGAACAGCTTTTTGCAACTACTGTGTGTAAAAGCATTTTTATATTGTTACAGAGCTTGCATTCCTAATGTATATTGTATAGTTAGGGATAGGTTAGTTTATATTTTGATTTGTGTACTGTAATTTCACTTTTTGAATTCTTGTTATGAGGATCAATTAGTTGTGTTATTAAAACACAGATCTTATGGATCTCAACTACTGGGTGTATTTTTTTGTGAAGTCACTTTTTTCTCTCTCATATTTTTCTAGACGTCTCATTTTTGATAGCTAAACATCTAGTGACTCCTGTCAAATGGAAATCTTAACTTGTCCTACGTAACTTTGTGGAGTGAAGCACAAGATTGAAACTTAGCGTTAATGTTAGCTCTAAGCATCAGTCACTCAACTAGTTGAGGACTGTGTGTTGTTTTCTCATAAATGTAATGCGGTGATTTTGGAAACATAAGACACTCCTACTCCTGGTGTCACCTTACCTGTGCGTTCCTAGAACATAAACCAGACATAGAGATTTAACATTAGTGCCATCTGTACACAGTTGGGCAAGCACTGCCATTCAAAATCTGTTACATGTAGACAGACGAGGAACTATTAACTATGAAAAATCTCACTATGGGATTTAAGGTTTTTAATCCTGTAAATCTCTGCTTTGAAAGTGACAGAGCGTCATTTAGCATCACCTTTGAACAACAATTACGGGTAAAATAGTGATACTGGACAGAATGGGGATGGGATTGCGGGAGTGTCTGTGTGCGGTCTTTCTGTTTAAATCACTGGCTCGTTGTAGTAAACAGTTTGCTGACAAAGCAACGATACACCGAGTAAGGAAAAAAGGAGAGAACCCAGTTAGAATTGTAAAGCCTTGCTTCTCTTTGAATAACAGCTAGCCGGAACTCTTCAAAGCATTTGGTTTAGAAAGGTGTTTGCTTTTATAATCATATCCACATTTATGGGCCTGGAGTTTAATGGATTACGTTAGAGTATTTTGGCAATGAAAAGCGTATTTAGAAGAGTCTGTACTATGTCACTTGTGAAGAAAAATGACCGATGTCGGATTTTACTGACAATCGTTGCAGTGCTCCTCCAGCTTGAAATATAAATTTAAGAAAGCACTAGTGGCAGTCAGCAGTTACACCTGGACCACACTCAAGACTGCTCTTTGAACGCCACCAGATTAGCGCCTGTGTATTACGAAGGCAATATGACAGGTCATTTTTCAAAACTGAGGGGAAATTGTAATAAAAGCTCATAATAATAGGGGAATTTTGTGAACATAGGAAATGTATCAATATACCTTGTAATACCAGCCTTAGGCTCTTTGTAATGTCATTTAAAAAATCTAATAAACTATTACATTGTCACAAATAGTCAGGTCATATATATTAAAGCAAAATCTAGCATCAGTATACCATTATATGTGAGATTGTATTTAGTTACGAGTTATGGAAAGACTTTAGCACAGCCTCTGCTTACAGAATAGAAGAGAGGCGTGTGCTGTGTAATAAACGGGTGAGCATGAGTCATGCCTTGCCAAATCTGGATTTTCCTAGGTAATGACAATATAGACCAAATTCATAGGCAAGCATATTAAAGCGGAGGATCATTTTGTACGATGTTTATACAACTATAAATTCTCATCTGGCCGCCTTCCTCCTGTAGGAGAAATGGTCGTTCTTGAATTTGCTTGCGCTGTCCTATCTACGGCAGTAGTAAGCCTGCTTTCCTGGAGTTTATTTTGTCAGAATAACTTACTGGGAAATTATTTCAGCTTTAAGATTCTAAACACTTTTCAGTAGGGGTAGTTTTCCCTCATAAATTTAACACAACTGATTTTGAAAAGTAACAAATCAATTCAAAACAAGCCTTTCGGACAGGAAGGTATTACTTGTAGCTCTTTAAATACTGCATATTTCTGAGAAACATTTTTTATTCTTGCTCCGAACCAGCGATAGAGCTTCTACATAGAAACAGCACATGCAAGCCAAAGTAGAATCCCTTTTGGCCACAATTTCCTAAAGCGCGGTTGGTTTAATACACACAGCAAAGCAGAAGATGACTGTTCTTAAGTGTTACTTTATATGGATTTGATAACACTTTAACAAAACAATAGCATCCTTGTTTTTTTTCTCAGTATGCTGGTTCACATCTTATCTGATAAATATTTGTCCTTTCCACTGGGCTGCCTCACTCACAAAGAAAAAAAAAGTCTGAGGATCAAGCTCGTGAACAGGGACTGTGTTCCGTACTAGAACAGCAAGCAAGCCGTTCCATATATTAATTTAAATCAAACTATGTAGTGCTGCGTTTTGTTTAGGACCATCCTTTGAGACTGCAGCTTGCTTTTTTTAGTTATTTGTCTCTATGCCAAAGTCTACGTAAGCACTTTCTACTTTAAGAGAAATTTTCTGCTACCTGTCATCACGGTAACATACGCTCGAATTTTATCATTGATGTGTTTACCTCCTACAGTTTATTTTCACAAACGGTTACAGGTTAAATGCACCCTACTCCGATTTCCTTGTACCAGCGGGCACGGAGGATGCTGCATTTTCCTGTTTGCAATTCAAAGCTGGTGTAACTTTGAGCAGACCTGCTGCAATTCATGAGCACAGCAGACCCACGCTGCGGCAGCAGAATAGTCTGCTCTGCCTGTGTGAGCGAGCGTGGGTGTCTGCTCACATCTGCCTCCCGCCTACCTGCAAGAGGGGAGAGGGTTTCTGGCCTCCTAGCTGCCGTCTAGGAGGAGGCGAGGTAGATGATGGAAAATGCACTCTCTTGAACTTGCCGCTTCCTTCGTTCTTTCCCGTCCTAGCCCAAGCAGCAAGTAAGGGGATAGCAAAGCTACTTTTTGTAAGTGAGCGTGAGGTATGGAATTACACAGAACGAGTAGACTCTATGGGTCCTGCATTTATGGGGAAAAGGAAGAACAGCTAGGGCTGGAGAAGACAGAACCCCCCCTGCTCCTGTCCAAGTTCCTCAAGCTCTCCATTGTCCCTGCTCTCACCTCTCGCCACTTCTACTCCAAATTTCCGTTACCACCATCCTCTTCAGCCCCAGCTTCTTTTCCACTCTTGACTCTTCAAGGCTCAATTTCAGCTGTTACTGAGGAAAAAGCCATTGTTTCCAAACTGCCTCCAGGTAGCTACTGAGTATAGATGCTCTTTCACAAAAAAATCTACATTAGGAACAGCAAATAGAATCAGCTTTTTTCTATGACAGGAATTATGAGTGACACCATGCAAGTCTTCAACCACAGTTTTCATAGCCAATCGTTAATAGCAGTAGTGTTTTCTGAATGCTAGACTTAAGACCTGAGAACCCAGAAACAAGCTGAAGATCCCAGGAGCTGTGTGGCCTATGCATTTTACACTGGGCAACAGGAATAAATTCGAAACTCCTGTCTCGTCTCGTCTGGTGTCTTAATTCCTATCTTTATAGCAGGAATGATACTCTCTCAGTACAGAGGAATAGTGTTATAATAAATCCATGTTTTGAAACACTTAGGCCCACTGATAAGTGATCCAGAATTACGGTATCCTTAAGAGGATTTTTCATTTAATCTCTGCCCTAAAGACAATGTACAGTAAATAAGACTGCACACAGATAGCTCTTCAACTAATACCATCTGGTCCGTGCGCTAAATGAAGCTGGTTATAGGCTGGAGAGAGACACTAAACTACGACTCGCTGTCTGCAAGAGCTGGTTTCAAAGCCGTCCTCTCCCTGAGTTGAACCCAGGTCTCCCAGATGCCTGGCACGTACCACTGCCTGCATCGCTGCCTGCTTTGGGACGGAGCTCACGAGAAATTACTTGGACTTCATCTTGCAATTCTCACAATCTATTGTTGGCAGTGGAGACAGGGAACATTTGTGCAAATTCATGTTATATCTGGCCTCCTCTAGACTTACTGTCTCAACACTCCCAATAAGGTACCATTGGCTCCTTCCCTTAGGTGGAATGAGGCACGGGGAATTGGTTTGCCTGAGATTACTGTGGGAATCGGTAAGAGACCTAACCCGCCTGTCCTCCAAATGCTGGGGGAGTGCTGAAGTTGCTCACTCGTTCTTCTTCCAAACTTGAAAGCTCACAAAATTCATTCCTTCATATTGTAAACATATTTGACACCGTGCCTTCAAAAAGAAAAAAATTTTGATTCTGTATGGTTTTGCTGTAGAACACCTGTAACCAAGGCCAGAGACACTGTCCATCCTCTCTCTAAAACGACACCTGAGTCTGCAGTTTTCCTGGAGGTTTTCACATGGAATTATTTAATGAAGCGTTTTACTTTTCCTCAAGATTAAAACTCTCTAGCAGATACTGCCTTCTAGTGGGCACACTCTCACTAATAGAAGGAACACTACCCAGATTAATTATTCAGTTACCTTTAACGTACAAGTTCAGATGTTAGGACTTTAACGAGCCACGTGCTGTTTTGAAATGTGGTTATTACACAAGACACTGAGGCTTTGTTTACAATTAAGAAAATTAATAGGATACACAAATCCCTTCCTGAGCTTTAAGCTTCACTGTGTTTTGAAAAGACCTGATGCTCACTGAGATTTTTTTTCTGACTCCGATGTAGAGTTAATGAAATTGGGTCATTAGGAAAATACAGCATGGGAATAGAGACTTTACATCATATGAGCACTCCGAGATAAGAATGGCTAAGCAGGTATTGTCTCTCTGAAAAATGCACATGTATTAATAGAAAGTGTTCTTCTATGTCATTTTGCCACAGACCTGACATTTTTATTTATGAAGCTCTTGTAGTTAGATACATATGTAAAAATTTCTTCAGTTTACAAAGCTGCAGAGTATGCAATCCTTGCTCAAGAGATTAAATCCTCTTCGAAATAGCAACTGGAGAAGTGATGGAGTTAAGTGTTTCTCAAGTCTCAGATTCATAGGTGTTAATACAACAAGTCTGGATGGAAGGCCCGTGACCCTTTTATGCAAGCCCCTGTACAGATATGGAAAATGCAGCGAAATAATCTATCCTTTTAAGGGCAAAATGGGGAAAACGGGCAAGGAGCTACCTGAAAAGCGGAGGCAAAAGAGATGAGACAAATTACTTAAGGTTTCACAGCGTATCAGTGGCTGAGCCAGGCCTTAGATTTAAATCTTTCTTAAGCCACCTGCAAAAAACACTTGAGACAGACTATGTAGCACTTGCCTTTCTCCCAGAACAGGTAGGCAGGCAGGTGTACTTGCAAAATCAGAATCTGCTCCTTCACATCTGAATCCCCTTAAGAGTTTAGATCAGAAAAAACCCCACATGCTCCATAGTCTGCTCGTCTTCAGCAAAAGGTATCCCAAATTTTGATGCAGCATAGCGTTCTGTTATATGTAGGTGTCAAGTGGAGAAATGTTTGTCCAAATGCTATCGCATGGCACGTAGGAATATCATCAGCTCAGGCTAGGTGGATTACTGACAAAGACCTGTCTGGTATTCTGCCAGCTGACATTTCCAGTTGCTCGGGCTCAAAGTAATTCACCTGCAGGGCACCTCAGTTTTTACTTACATTCCTCCTCGGTCCAATTCCTCCTTCTCTGAGAATATGGGTTTCCCAATGGATAAAAGTTTCTGATTCCCACACAGCTCTAATAAATATTTCACTGATTTCTGTTGCAGACGTGTTTGGTTTTGAAGACCAGCTCCCTGTCTCTTTAAAGCCTATTAGGGAAGCTTTTTGCATTTTCATAGAATCATAGAATCACTGAGGTTGGAAAAGACCTCTAAGATCATCGAGTCCAACCGTCAACACAACACCACCATGTCCACTAAACCATGTCCCTGCATATTTTAACCTGCACCACCACACTGGAGGAAGTCACCGAATTCAGCTGTTCTCTATCCACTGACATAGAAATAGCAGTTCCTTAGGAGCAACACAGGAAGGTGTCCAGGAAGTTTTTGTTGGTTCGTTTATTTTCACATGCACTTTGAGAAGTCAGGAGGCCAAGGACATCCAGGACAGATGTTGTGTAGTTTGGGGAAATTAAAGCAACTGATAACACAAAGGAAAGAGAGACCAACGTTAAGACATGAGGCTAGCTGCTAGTTTCTAGGCATTTAAGACTCCGTGTGTGAAGACTGTGTGTGGTAAAGTGTCCACCATGGTCTGAGCTCTGACATATGACGCATCCCAGTGGCAATAACAAAGGAGCGTTCGTTAGCTTCCCAAGAGGCTGCTCAACAGCAGAGCAGCAATTCGTTTAGCTTGCCAACTGCTATAAAACAGGAGAAGTTTTGTATCATACAAGTGCCCAATTAAGTTAGACTGTAAGAAGCTGAACCTCAGCCAAATCCTCTCTTTAAGACATGTTCACTCTAAAAAGTATTCTTTAGAGCTAGAAGGC